AGAGTGGCTACTGGAAGCAAGACACTGTTCTAAGCACTGCATCAGGTTTGTCAATAGTTTTAGGGACTCCGTACTAAATTTCCAATGGTTTGCAGAATGTAATATTATACATCAGACTTCATTGTATAATTATTGTCACTACTCACTAAATTGATATCATGACTGAGAGACAATCTGCAGTTTAAAAAGTACTGCTGCCATGGGTGATATTAGCAGATGGCTTATTAATAACTCAAAACAAGTTTTATTTCCTAATATCAGTCTCTAAATTCTTTTCTGACTAGCACTCTTTAGAATTTTCATAATTTATAACTACTCTATTTGATAATTAGAAAAATTATTCTCATGGACCAGATAGGTTAAATAATTGCTGCAATTTTTTTTCATACTACAAACATATTTGTTCCATAAAACAAGCAAATTACTCATAGCCAAGCTGGTCACAGAATACCATCTTTTAGTCAGCAACAAGCAGACCATCTGTCCAGAATTTATAACTCTTGGAAGCTTAAGGCAATGCCACAGGTTGTTTATAGGACCTATTTGCTTTATTCTCTAAAGCAGGTGGCATTGAAATTGAAGTTATGTAGTAAGTGATTACTTGAGATTCCTGTGTAAAGTATTGAAGAAAATTATAACTGTTCTTTTATGTTTAGATTTACACTTTTAACAAAATATTTTCGGAACATGAATATCTTTTAATGCACATGGATCAAAGATCACGCATTCAGATGCTCTCTCTGAAGGATTTGAGACCTGGTTCTGAATCTGACACCTTGACGCAATACCCTTCATTGTTACTGTGGATGTTTACATATGTCTTCTGTTTATCTCTCCGCTTTCTTTGCTTTTGTGGAAATCTTTGTTTCCTATCAATTACTCACCAAACTTTTCACAAAAAGAATCTTGTGGGTTTTTCTTTTGTTCTAATCATCACTGGTTGAGTGATTACTATCACTACCTTCACTGTCATTGTCACTGTCACTATCACGTCCATTGTTGCCATTACTAGACTTACTCTGGCTATCACTGCCAGATGTGCTGTCACTGCTGTTGCTGCTGTCACTGTCACTGCTGTTGCTGCCGTCACTATTGCTGCTTTCAGTACTGTTGCTGCTGTCACTACTGTCACTGCTGTCACTACTTTTGCTGTCACTACTGTTGCTGTCACTACTGTCACTGCTGTCACTGCTATCACTGTTGTCGCTACTGTCACTGCTGTCACTACTATTGCTGCTACTGTTGCTGTCACTACTATTGCTGCTGTTGCTGCTGTTGCTGCTGTCACTGCTACTGCTGCTGTCACTGTTATCTGACTTACTGTCACTGTCACTACTGTCACTACCTGGTTTGCTGTCATTGTCACTGCTGCTGCTGTCACTGCTGGCACTGCTGTCACTGCTGTCACTACTGTCACTGCTGTCACTGCTATCACTGCTGTCACTACTGTCACTGCTGTCACTACTGTTGCTGCTACTGTTGCTGTCACTACTATCACTGCTGTCACTGCTGTCACTACTGTCACTGCTATCACTGCTGTCACTACTGTCACTGCTATTGCTGCTGTCACTACTATCACTGCTGTCACTGCTGTCACTACTGTCACTGCTGTCACTACTGTCACTGCTGTCACTACTGTTGCTGTCACTACTGTCACTGCTATCACTGTTGTCGCTACTGTCACTGCTGTCACTACTATTGCTACTGTTGCTGTCACTACTATTGCTGCTGTTGCTGCTGTCACTGCTACTGCTGCTGTTATCTGACTTACTGTCACTGTCACTACTGTCACTGCTGTCACTACTATTGCTGCTACTGTTGCTGTCACTACTATTGCTGCTGTTGCTGCTGTTGC